CCCCAAAACCCCAAAACCCCAAAACCCCTAATTCAAGAATATTGAAATCAAATGTAATTTGCAGAAATAAATATAAAATGAGATTGGTTAAAGCTACATTATCATTAATAATTAAAGCAATTATAATCAGAAGCAATAATGTTCCAATAACTAAATAACATCATACCTGGCTTTGATATTACTTCAGAAAATCTACCATCTAGTAATTATAATATGAAACGCTAATGATTGTAGACCATAAAATAATCGTTGAGGATAGTAATGCTTGCACTGGAGAGTTTGTGATTTACAGCTTGCTAGAATTATATCTTAGAAATTAGAATAATGGGGTTATTTTTGTAGCTGCATCCCAGTCATTTTCTCATTATTAAGCAGTTCTTAAGAAACTTGTAAGTTTTTCAGTAATGATGATTACCTTATTTCCATAACTAGGGATTGAACATTTAGACTATGATTGATAGCTCTCAATTAGTGTATCTAGATCAGTTCGGAAAGCCTTTTGATTATAATGTATTTGATAACCTGCCTTTATCCCAGGCAATCCCAAACACGCATACTTCAAAATTGCCAAAGAAAGTTCAGTTCTAATAATTTACATTAGTAGATAGCGATTAAATGCTGGATAAGAATTTCAAATCACTGTTCACCAAGATTGAGAAATCATTAAAGCAGATGCAAAACGATGGCAAATAAGTGCTTGTTTTGGTTGATAATATAAATATCATGATTAATGGTTGCTACACAAAGAGTGAGTTAGATTTCATCGAGATTATGAATGAATTTACAGCAATCGCTGATAGAGACGCTAGGATGTCAGTGGCTATTGGAGTGAATAGAGATTTATTTGATTGTGAAAGCACAATGGATTTAGACTTTTATAGAGAGATTAAGAATTCAGTATTTGACTCAGTCTATGAGCTTAATAGAAATCTCAGTGGATACTCTAGAGATGTCCATGGCTAGCTAAATATCATTAGAAATAAGCATAATATAGGGGAACAGAGTGTCAAAAATGTGAAGTTCAGACTTACTGAAAATAAAGTAGAGTTGTTCGAGCACTTCACTATTTGATTAATTAATCTATATTTATTGATTTTCATCATTCATCTAATATTATGTTATAAGGGGTTTTGGGGTTTTGGGGTTTTGGGGTTTTGGGG